CCTTTCAGCCGTTGGGGCGTTATAATGTGACGGTCAATCCCACTATTCGTTGGTAAAAGAGTAGCCCAAGAATTGGTAGTGGGTGGCGATGACTAACTGCCTTCCCTCTAGTCTTACACTGCTAAATTAGGGACGGCTAGCGCAGACAGCCCTGGTGTAGCTTTGCGCGAAATTCAAAAACAAACAAACAATATCTACGATGTACTGTTTTCAGTTTTCAAATTGTCACTCAAAACACAGAAAAACTGTAGCCTTCCTTTTAAATTACCGTATATTTAATTACTTCACTTAATTGCATATTTATTATGATATTTCAATTTTACACACTTTTTAAAGCAAATGGAGAACAAATCAAACTTACCCGACAGAATAAAGGCAACACCTGCAGCGAAAGTAAGAATTCGTCGTCTTCTGATCATGTGACCACAGAAACACAGCATTTCACCAATCAGAAGGGCTATGGAGCTCATGAAAAGGAAAGTAGCTGCTCTTTTCATTGCATCTGGAAAAAAAATATACATAAGCAATCATTGACAGGAGCAGAAACTATAAAAACCTAGTGAATCTATATTTATTTTAAGTTAATCATGTAACACCACTATTGGTCTTGACCAATACTTCGGGTTGCAAATGGAAGGGTCTAAAGTTCGAGCCGCGATATACCGCTGAACATGCTCTGGATTTTTAACTACCATAGTTGATCGGAAATATTCTCTATTTCATCCATGCTATTGCATCCCTTGTAAACTACCTAAAGATGGTGAATATATCAAAATAATATTTTGTGAACCTTCCAAAATTTTGTCGTGTTACTTTAAAAGCATTTATCAGAAATATTTTTTAGAAACTCTTGAGTTTCAGCATTATTCTGATATTAGAGCATATTTGTGCATTACGTTACATGAGGTTTTGAACGCGGGAATATACAAAGCTTAGGTATACTTCAGGCACATTTGGCTATCTGCTAAACCCATTGCGGGGAATCGGACCCCATATTTTTAGAGTTGTATATCCATAGACTTACTGCTTTTCCACTGGAGGACGTGAGTGAGAAGAGTGTTAGAACTCCTAGTGTGGCGAAAGAAGAAGTAGAGGAAGACAGAGAATAGGTTCAAGTGAAGTGGTAGACAGGATTAGAGATGACAGAGAATAGATTGAAGTGAAGTGGTGTACAGGATTAAGGAAGACAGAGAATAGGTTGAAGTGGTGGACAGGATTAAGGAAGACAGAGAATAGGTTGAAGTGGTGGACAGGATTAAGGAAGACAGGGAATAGGTTGAAGTGAAGTGGTGGACAGGATTAAGGAAGACAGAGAATAGGTTGAAGTGAAGTGGTGGACAGGATTAAGGAAGACTGAGAATAGGTTGAAGTGAAGTGGTGGACAGGATTAAGGAAGACAGAGAATAGGTTGAAATAAAGTGGTGGACAGGGTTAAGGAAGACAGAGAATAGGTTGAAGTGAAGTGGTGGACAGGGTTAAGGAAGACAGAGAATAGATTGAAGTGAAGTGGTGGACAGGGTTAAGGAAGACAGAGAATAGGTTGAAGTGAAGTGGTGGACAGGGTTAAGGAAGACAGAGAATAGGTTGAAGTGAAGTGGTGGACAGGATTAAGGAAGACAGAGAATAGGTTGAAGTGAAGTAGAGGAAGCCAGAGAATAGGTTGAAGTGAAGTGGTGGACAGGATTATGAGGGAGGTTGGTGCATGACAGGAAAATAATGTATAACGAATGTATATCCTAGC